CAAGTGCTCTGTTACTATTTGGTACTGCATCGTGCTCAATTTTATGTGGTTCGATCATGCTTCTATTCTTCGAGCGACGTTGATGGAGTTCAAGCAACGTCCATTGCCGTGACTTCTCTACACACTTTCCTAAGCCACCGCACCATTTAATAGGCCCCTTTTTATAGTCTAACCAATTCAAAGCAATTCGGTTTTCAGATTTTCTTTTGTGTTATTAAACAACAGTTCCTGAAACTTATTTCGTTAGCCTTGAAGGTAGTAGTTGTTGAGCGAATAAACACACTTAAGCCAAGCCCCACCCTGTTGGCTCACCGCACACATGTAGTTGTACCATAAAATTACAAGTAAAGCACCAGAAAAACTGTCAGCTCAAAGCATGTAATAACTAATTGGGCGTTGATTTGCGGTTGAGTTTTCCGGTCTTGAGACATTGCCACCAAAATCAACGTATCTGCCGGTATACATATATAGGCTCATGTACATGTGTCTGTATGTGTAGGTACGACAGACAAACAATAACCGCACAAACTGCAGCAATTTTACAATTGCAGCAAAAACACAGAACAGAGGTTGTGCTGCAGGATGTAAGAGTACTCCAAGTAAGGTTGCTTAAGTTAAAGAGTTTAGTTACACTTGATTCTACGGACCTTGGCCGCCACTGAATTAAAAAATTCGACTCTTACTACGATTACAGTGAGCTCTGCTAGTGATGGTAGCGGAGATGCCGGCTCTGATTAACGAGTGTCTAATGACGTATGCCACGAATAACACGTTCCTGAGCTCAAGCTCAGGTTCAGTCAGACCTCGGAGGAGATTGAGTGAGAGAAGGTTAAATTAGATTGACAGAGTTGTTGGATATCAACTTATTTAGACTATCAAATGGAACCACTCTTGCATGTTGACAGTCGTAACTTCGAGGTTTTAGATAATTTTGTCTATCTATGAACCATTATTAACACAAATAATAGCGTCAGCCTTGATATCCAACTAAAAATCACTCTTGTAAACTGGTGCTACTTTGGACTGAGTAGGCAATTGAATAGTAAAGTTCTCTCTCGGCGAACGAACACCAAACTCTACAAGTCGCTCATCATACCTGTGCTACTAAATGGCGTAGAGGCGTGAACGATGTCGACACCTGATGAGTCGGCTCTAGGAGTCTTCGAGAGAAAAGTTTTGCGAACGATTTATGGTCTTTTGTGTATTGGCAACGGCGAATAGCGCAGGTGCGATAAGTTCAGCGAATTAAGTCATGTCGTTCGAATGGATGAAAGCACCCCAGTTTTGAAAGTAGTCGACGCAGTACCCACTGATGGAAGCAGAGGAAGAGGAGGATCTCCACTCCGTTGAAAGGATCAGGCGGAGAACGACCTGACTTCACTACCAACTTTCGGCAGACAGCAGAAAGAAGAAATAAATTGTGCGCTAATAAAAAAGAAGAAGAAGGGGAACCATTGTGATACCATTTAGGACCTGTACTATCTAAGCGGGTGGAGGAAAGGCGTGAAGTATTGTTTTTTACTCGATGCAAATTGTGCAGCAGCCAGTCGCAATCCACTCACAAAAAAGGCAGGTTTGGAGATACGCAAAAAAGATCGGGTTAGATATTTGGATACTGGAGAACACAAATACTAGGTGCGTAAGCACTGAAGGCAAAACGGAATAATCGAAGTATCCTTTCAACTGCCTCTTCACTCAAGTCTCTTATGATTGCCATTCATAGAGCCTTTAACTCACTTCTTCAAAGTGTAGAACATTGGTCAAGGGAATGTCTAATAGTAAAGTTTTTTCTTTGCCCTGCAAATTTTGCAGAAGTTCATTAAAGGCATGTTGAGTCTTCCTGCGCGCTTGTCCAATAGAAGGAGACCCATATTTGTAGATGTCTCCTTTTTTTTTAATGCGAAAATCTCACGTGACCCCCTCGCATCCCATGTCGGCCACATTATTCTAGTCAGAATACAGAATATCAGCTTCGATGTTGATCAAGGTACCTTCGTAACATTCACAATAACTCTCATTTGGCGGCTAGAACTCGAGCCGTGAAACTGCAAGACCGACTGTAGGGAAGTAAATTCCCCTCTGCTTGTGCTTTTATTAAGCTCATCTCCCTAACAACGCCTTATCGCACATTTAACGACTTCCACTTTATGTCTGATGCGTTCACCGTTGTGTACTCAACTCATCTACGCCTTTAAACCGCTGTGAACCCCTATCTATTTTATTTAAAATAGACGACCGCAAGCCATGCCCGTAGCGAGCTTAGTTGTTTGGATAGTTTGTTTAGTTGTACAAGAACTACAACTCTAATGGAAACTACAATAACAACAACAACAACAACAAACCAACTAACGGTTAGTGGCAGTGTTGCATCAACAAACCATAATCATAATCATAATGATCGTTGTCGGACGTGCAGTGTGGCAAGAAAAACACTCGCACAAATACACACACTCGGACGTGCATAAAGTTAGCTTTATGGCAGTCAATTTGTACTTACTGCTACTGCTGCTGCTGCTGCTGCTGATGGTGCTGGTGCTGCTCTGACTCTTCTATTATCCATTGAAGTTGCTGTTGTTTGTGCTTGGCTATCAGAAGCGTTTTCCTAGCGCTGCCATCACTCGTGTATAATAATATTTAGATTGCAGTAAGAGGAGAATATAACGGGAATTCCAACAATGATCAACGACGACAACGACAACGACGACGACAACGACAACAGCAACAGCCACGGCACCAATAGCACCGACGGTGACAACAATTTCATAGTCACTTGCGCATTAACCACTCACCCGATGGTACGTGACCGACATCCGGCCATGGTGTAGCTATACGCATACCTATGCATCTACACACACATACTCACATGCGAGTACACATGCACATGAGCAAAAAGTCAATTTCACCGCCAGGAATGCCAACTAAAAAGTCAACCCGCCGGATGTAATGTATAAAGAACGTTGGCTAACGGACGATGGCGATATTTCGTATGGACTCAACGAAAATGACTTAGCGGGCGGAGCGCGGGACGACAAAATACATATGATTGCAATTTTGGATACATACATAGTTATACGAATGGGAAGGCACGTGCGTCTTTTCAAGCGAATGATATTGGGGTTTCGGTCGAGAAATTCCACAGCAGAGACTAAGAAACAGAAGAACAATTTTCGGTTTGCTTCGAAAGGGAAACTGTTTCGAGAGACAAAAGCTATGTATATCTACTGCGACTCTGGATATTCGCTCCTTTACGACCCAAGGATGCTTTAAACAGGACTTCAAATGTATTTTAGCTAAGGGCATCCACTATAATCAGTTCCTATCTTTAAAGAAACAGTAGGTGAGTTCGACCCTTGCCAAAACTATAGAAAATTAATTTTTATAATTACGATCGTCTCATTGCAATGAGATAAAAGCTCTTCATATCGTTTCTCAACTGTAGGTCCATACATTTATAGAAAAAAACAAAAACATCACAAATAGGTGGAGGAGCTGGAACACCATCGAGTACTTGTAGAAAATGCTAGTGAAGCTACGCCCACCCAGAAGTCATGCAGAGCTTGGCTTCGACGCTTTAAAAGTGGTTATATTAGCGTCGAGGATAAAGAGTTTTCTGGTATAACCAGACGGGTGCAGTGTACTAAGAGCTGCTCAAACCAGTCGAAACTATTGATACGAAACGTAAAACAAACCAAAAGGCATAGCAAAGTGACAACGTTCGGCTTCACGTAGCTGTAATGGCCAAAAACTTCCTGAAAACGATGAAATAAGAGGTCCAACCCCACTGCCGGATTACCGTTTCGGGTATTTTGAAGAAATCAATAAATATCTCAAATTGAATCGACGACTGAGAGGATGCATTTTTTGGAGATGGTTTTGGAAAATCACCATTGAGATGGAGAAAAGTAGTTGCGTCCGACGGAAAATACTTTGAATGATACAATTTTTTAAGAGGGCTTTCAAGCGCTGGTCGCAGTCGCACCAACTCAATTCAACCTCGGTTATATCTATGAGGCAATACTCTTAGCATCATGACGGGTGCTCAACTGAAATACGTTAGACGTTCCAGTATGTGTAAGGCTTATGCGCACGTAGGCGTCTAGGTTTTGGTCAAGCAACTTTGCAAGCAAGACTTAAAGTCTACTTGATCATGAGCGTACTTCGTGTAGCAGGAAACGCGCATTCTACAGCGATAGTGAGGTTACATTGATCAGTTGAGCTAAATAGATTGTTACTTCTCTGTAGAAACGTGGTTCGCACATGGAATTTTACTATGAACAGAGGGATTTCAATGAGAAGGGATTTTTTTCATGTTAGAAAGGCAATCGGAGGCCTAGGTGTCCCCTGATGATTGGGGACTCCTTTAAAAAAGACTTAATAGTTGCTTGTGGCGCCAGATCTGTAACAGATGGCTTTAATGTCTGCACTATTTTTGAACACACTGTAAATTTAAAACAGAAAGACTGACTTGAGAGTAGTGGACCCAGATTTTTGTCTGATCAGTACTCATAACTCATGACCCTCGTCCTGACAGTGAACAGGTTTTTTTCCCAATTCTGAATATCATTGTAAGTGAAGGCTGAAGGGCACGCTTTTTTTATAGGAAGGTAGCAAAGGTACGACTTTCTTAAAAGAAAATATGTTCTAGTAAACGACCCTTTTACAGATCCAGAACACTGAAGATGTGATTGACTGTTTCCACGTTCCAAACCTTGGACTCAGACTAAACTCTTCCGAGTCATGTCTCAAGAAGAAGGCCGTTATGTGAAATTATCACATAATCCAAATGTAAAATTGCACCAAAGTTCAAAGAACCACCTCTTTTAACACATGTATGTACGTATATATGTAGCTAAGTTCAATGTTTTATGAAAAATGAAACCCTCGAGCAAGGATTTCACCTCTGTCCCTGTGTGCACATTTCTAAGAAAACTGCCAGCGAATATACGTATGCATATATGTAAAATGTGTGTATATAAAGTTGATAACCAAAAGGTACTTACATTGTACTCGTCCTAACCAAAATTGGCTGACCGAAAAATGCCGGTACATTCTCATCCATTAGCGAATGTGTTTTGATGAAATTCAACGTTGGCTCCGGCAGTGTACGTGAGTCGTTGTGGCATGAGCCCGGCCGCGGTTCGGGTACCTGTAAGAGTGAATGTCGAATTTAAATATATGCTAGTATGCGTGTGTATATAATATATACACAATTATATATATATGTAAAATATGTGCATATGTAAATATATTTTCATGCAAATATGATTAACTGTAAAGATGATGTGTAGATTTTTGGTGATGACGTTGCAGTTTTCGTTGCTATGTTTGTATTATTTTAATTTAAATTTACATTTTTGAATGTGGATTTTGTTGTTAGAGCACGTCAAAGCGTCAAAGCAGAAAAATAAAAAAATTGAGGTGCGAAAATAAAGGAGAGAATTAAATTTTTGCGGGTCACTGTCATATGTAGAATGGAATTAAAAAAATTTCAGAGTGGTTCACATGTGGCTGCAAAAAGCTTTGTATCTCATACATGTGAAGCGTGTTTTTCTTAAGGCACGTGATTTTTAAGAATAAATAATACGCATTTAATTTAATGTTATGGCAAAAAAGAGTCAGTTGGTGGTAAATGACCGCCGCAGCTGGCTCGAATAAACTCCAGCCAAGAAGCCAAATTTTCGACCACTATTTGTGGCTATTGGAACGGTATGGCGTGGGCTTGCCTGCGAGGGCAAGTGACTTCATATTGTATAATATTTATATAATTGGCGCTTTGTAATCGCTGAAGCGATTTTCTACCTACAATTTGTGGTTTGGCGTCGTGATGTATTTCTAACAAATGGGGGGGGGGGGGGTTAATACTAAGCTGCTTCCGAACGGCTGATGGTTGTTTTGTGAGTAGCCTTTGTTTCAAGTCCGAAATACACTCTGTGAATGTTGGTTTCACAGGGATTTGAACCCGAGCCTTCCGAATGGCTGTACGCAATGCTAACCACTCGGCTACCGAGGCCGCCGGTTATATAATAACCATACAAAAAATAGTCCAGTCGTGTTCAATCGCATGATCTTGGAGGCCACGCAATAGGCCCACGACGCGAGGTAATGGCGCTCACCAAAACTTTCATTCATTAACTTGATTGTTTCGTTGGTTGTGTGACATCTTGTTTGAGACAAAGCTGGTCCATATGAACGCAGGCCCTATGGACAATGATTCCCTCTCCCTTGAGCCCACCAAACAGTGAACAGTAGCCATTCAACTTTCACCTTCACTAAACAAAACATTATTGTGAAAATTGGGCTCATTCACTGAACGTGCGACGCGCTTGAGTGTCTTCAATTCTAATACGAGTTGGATTTTGTAAGCCCGCAAACTAAGATCTTTTCGCAAGATATTTGATTACGTCTAAGGGCAAAGCTCCAAATGTTGCGCGTAGAAGCGATTGAACTCATTAGAGTCTTCTTAGATACTCTGCTTTTTTTGACGTGCACTGTACAGAGTTTCTGAGAATTCGCATTTTCCATAGAATAAACGGGGTGCGTACTGATAAGTGGTCGCTCGAATTGTCGACTCTGCTGGCTGCGTGCGATGCTTTGCCCGAACCGACCCCGTTTTTTTGGTAATTAATTTTTGAGATTTGCAAAAAGTGGCTCCGGTGTAAGTCTTTTCATTAAGAAATGGCAAACCGATTGAGTGTAAATCAAGTAAGACTGGTTGGTATGACCTTTATGAACTCAACTACTCAGTTCCAAAAAAAAGTTGCGCACTACCAATCAGAGTAGAAGCTCGAGCGAGTATAGTTTCAACGGTTATAAAGCGCCTACCATATAAAACTCTTTTTATGTGGACCAAAGGTGGACAAAGGCCTCCTTAACTATTATAAAAACCAATCACGGATGAGCTTAGCAACACGAATACGAGCCGCGCAATAAAACCCATCTATTATCCATCTGATGGCTTTCACTTAGCACAACTTTTGTCGGCATCGGAACGAGAGATATGGAATGGTTCGCTTTAGTGGGTATCAAAGGAGTTCATACAATTTAGAGCTTAGTTAGCCGAACGTTGACTATTCTTATTTTCCATTATAGTCATTATACAGCAGGTGCTTAATAGTTAAATACTAGTTTTTTTATGCATATTGATTTTTGGGTTCGCAAAAAGAAATTTAAATAAAGGTTGCATTTTCGATTTTAAAATCACATATTTGACGCCGACAACACCTGATCTATCGGGATTTTACGAAAAGTAACGAACCATAACGGGCTTCAGTGATCTATATCTCTCGTTCTATAAGTGCGATTGCCTTACGCTAAACGACGTTAGAAAGAAGATATTTTGTACTAAAAGACAGAATGAGAATGAGAAGGGATAATAATTTAACTCAGTAGTGTTTGAGCGTATTTCAAAAATGGCCACTACCAAAGGAAAAATATTGTACAACTACTCTTCGATAAAGACGAAACCGCAAGTAAAGCAGCTGAAAATACGAAAAGTGCTTATGGTCGGGTCTTCGATTTTGTTCCCGGTAATTTGAATGAAAAAAACGCACCACGGTGAGACACACCACTTGTCGAGATTGCCTATTAGACATTGAAAAACGTCGAGTCTGACCTTTATACGATCATTGTTTCGATTACCCAGGTGCTAAGCCATTTGATATACAAAGAAGCTCGACTTGTGGGTGCCACATCAGTTAATGAGAAAAAACGTGATGAACCGAATTTCCATCTGTGAATCGTTATAAAATCGTAACGAAATTGATCCATTCTGAAGCGGATGGTGACTACAGATGAGAAGTGGGTCACTTACGGCAATGTAAAATGAAAACGGTCATGGTCAAATGGTCTGTAAGGGGTTTGATGTGTATTTGGTGGTATTGGCAAGAAATTATTAACTATGTGCTGCTCGGCTACGTCCAAAATCCAAATTTTGAACTGTCCCGACAGCAATTGAATCCTCTGAAGAAAGTAATCAACCAGAATTGTGTCTCATCGGCATAAGGTCAGACCACTTTCATCGATAGTGACTCGTTAGAACATCCGAGTGTTTGATTAGGAGGTTCTTATGCATCCACCTTATACTATTTCGGACCGCGCAGCAGGTGATAATCATCCGTTACTGTCTATGGCGAATACTTATGCCAGTGAAGTATTGTACTCACGGGAAGCCTGTGGAAATCAATTGCACTAATTTTTATGCCATTATGAACAAGGGTTTCTATGAGAGAGGCATAGTGATATTAACTTCAAAATGGCAAAAAATTGTCAAGCAAACGGTTGGATATTTGGTTGATGCGAATCGTGAATGAAGTCATCAATTTAATTCAGAAATAATATGTTCATTTTTTACTAGATCAACGCTAGTTCGAAACTAGACCTTTTGGAAGCATACTAGTTGAGCTTTTCACTGCCATATATATACGTACATATGTACGAGTATTCAGGTGTATGCTTATATCCACTAATTGGCCACTTAAGACCCTAAAGTACACTATACATACAGATAAACACACCCACACGCGCGTGCTTATCGATGATACAACAATCGAAAAGCGACCGAATGCAGACGCGATTAAGCACACATATTTATGTAGTCGCATTAAAAGTCAATCACGATTAAATGAATTTTAATTTGTGCACATTTCAGTTAAATATGCACTCAGACGCGGATATGCCTGATCCAAGTGAACTGAACCGAAATGAGTGCAGCAGACATACTCATGCACACATAGTACTATATGTACTCATACCCATACTCATGTGAGTGTATGACATCAGTACGAACTGTGTGGTTTGTGGCATATCAATAAAAATGAGTGGTTAAGTGTCAAGCGTGTATGAGGCCAATTTAATTGAATGTATACTCACATATTTATTATAGAAAAATTAAATGATACTGTTTACAAAAATTGCACAAACTCACACAGCACACCACCCACACGGATAAATACAGGCATAAGTATGCATACTTTAATTACCACATACGTAGGTATGTATGCATGTTCGTTAGTGAGAATAAAAAATATGTATATGTATATTTGTCAAAGTGTTAAATATTGTGCCGTTAAAGTGTATTACTGCGGATTTGTGCACTGAAAATTGTGGCATTTTAATTGTGAAAATAATGAAAATTGTAAACAAAAACATAAACAAAAGAAAAAAATTAACAGATTAAACCGTACCTTGGCATTATTGACTGGCAACCAATTTGAGTTGATGCTGCTCTGCTCCTTAAAGTTGCCCTCGAATGTGTCGGCAATTTTCTGAAATGAGAAAAATTCAATGAAAAATTCATATTTATGCAGTTTATATATTTCATGTATATAATATGTGTGTATGTACCTACACGTGTAGAATTATATTAAACACGAATACGGCAAAATGAAAAAATCAAAAAAAAAAAAAAAATAGCGAGTACCAAAAGAGCCTTCAATATTGGTAAAAGGTGGCCCAAATCCTTCTTTTATGACAACCAATAATTATTATTATCTTATTTCCTTTTAGTAAATACTAGACAGTTTTGTACTCCTATGCTATAAGCTTAATGTAAATTCTCAAGGCTTTTTTTTTGGTATATACAGCTTGATCACTGCTACACTTTTTTTTTACTCTGCAGTAGATCAATGTTGATTACTATTTTATTACCGTGCAACATGAATATTTATTTTATCTGCTCTTTAATGGAGTTTCGGACAACCCGAAAATGATTTTGAATAGACCGGGTAGGGTATATTTAAAGTGAAAACATCGGGCAACCCAATCACTTTTGACAGAGTTCTCAGATAGACTAATGTAATAAATACCGCGTTGGATTTCTTATTCCAAAACATTGAACAGTACACACTAAAATAATGCTCTGAAATTGTACATCTTTACGACCAGGAAGTTGCAAATGGTGTGGCGTCCCTACTTTTTCGAAGATGATGAAATCACAAGATACTATGTCCGGGGAATATAGCGCTGAACGTATTTCTTCGATCCCAGAGATTGCAATACAATTACTCGTTATTTCAGTAGTGTGTGGTGGAGTGTTGGCACGATGTTAAAATTAACGCCTCAAATCCTCTTTCATACTGTTTTTCAAAAATCTGTTTTAAAACTTTTGATAAGCAATCTTCGTTGTACCATTTTCAGACACCGTCTGACCCTGTTCCAGTGGAATAGCAGCTACGATTTTAGATCGGGTGACGTAAACTGGCAGTTACTTTTGTTGTTGATGCTTGTTGCTTAGATTTTACGGGAGGCTTTGCTCCTGTTGGCCTCCATCTATACCGTAGACTGTTTTTTGATTTCTTGATCGTACTTTCATAACCAAAATTCGTCGCCAGTAACGGCTTTACTAAAGTTGCTAGACCGACCATTTTCGAGTGTTTTTAGGAAAAATTGGGCAAAACGCACTCGAGCCTCTTTTTGGGCCGCATTTAAAATTCGTGGTACTCATCGAACAGATTTATTCGTGTATGCCAGATGATTATTTAATATTCGTGATACAGACATGGCATTCAAGCCCAATTCATTAGCAATCATTTCTTGTGTCAATCGTGGGTAATCGTCAATTTTGGAAGATTTCAGTCGACCTTCTCAGGATTCGTTCTGTACAGAAGAATTGTCCCGTCTAGAATCTTTGGAACCACTTAGAACTATTCTTTAAAAACGGTGCAATCGTTCCATATCCAATTAGACATTAACTGAATATTTGTGTTGGCTGTAAATTACGCCGAAACCCAAAGTGAATCACATTTTCTCGTCTCCATTTAACAAAAAGAAATTAAAAGTCATTAACTGGACGTATGTAGATCAAAAAGCGGTAATTTTGATTGGCCCCCAAGACTGCCAGATTTGATGACCTTTTTAGTGTGGCACTATTGGGAATACTAGTTATTCGCTGATAAGCCAACTCAAAGGCAACATATGATGCGAAATCGACCCATACATTAGCTGAAACAAGGACATTTTTTGTCAAAGGTGTCCATTTAGTAGTAGAAAATATGTTCCAATTAAGTTACCTAAATATACAATTTTTTAATATTATTTTTTTGTTCTCAAAACTCCGCTTAAAAGAAGTTATTTTAAAGGCCGTAAAAACGACTTTATTGAACGAAATCACAGCACGAAATTAAATAATTGAAGGCATTAAGCAAACAGCAAATGAATCTCTGAGAAAACTGAGCAACTAATTGCCCGAAATTACACTGACATAAATTTTCTAATGGGAAGAACGAAGAGTGTGCGCAGTGATAAGACTAATGTCACGAGGACAAAATTTCAAAATTAAATAGAGAGAGGTTTTAATAATCCATTTTTTTTTACATGCAGTTTTTTCTAATTCGTCGAAATAATATCTAAGCAGAAAAATTCTTAGATTTGTCGACTCTATTGAGAATATTCTCAGAGTTTAAAAACTTCACAAATCCGTAACGTATTGGCAATCGGCAGCGATAGAAAATTACGTGATACGTGATGAATCGAACGAACGAAATGGCATTCTGGCAAACAAAAGCTAACGAAACATAACTGTTTTTTTCTCTAATCGCATTAAATTTCAACTACCACTACTATTTCAATGAATATTTTGAGTCAAAATAAATGTAAAATCCTTTACTAATTGGAAATGGTCTTTTATTTATTTATTCCTTGTAGCGCATAAACCGGCAGCTCACTTCTGAGTTAATCACTGCTTCTTCGAACCAGATTTGTATACTCGTATTTCAATGAAAAATTAAAGTCATAAAAGGAAGGCGTCAGCAACTACTCTTCGGGATCCGTCAGTTCGCTTTTCAGTGATCTTGTTGGAGGACGTTTTGGTTAAGTATCTTTTTTATATCCGTGCAAGGCTATTAATAAAAAAAGTTTGAAAAACAATTTTCTATGATATTCAAACTAATCTGTAAAAACGAACTATTCAAATTTTACAATTTTTGCCCCACGTACAGTGGGGTAAAATGTGTCGATTTTGGATAATAAATCAAAAATCAAACTTCAAGGTAGAAGTAAATTATTGGTACCAAAGAAACAACAAATGTTTGACAAGTTTTCTTGCAATATTTTCTGAAAATTTGTGTTCACATAGGAAAAAACGTGATTTTTTTAATTTTGGATCTGGAAAGGCTTAGAACTAATTTTACACTTTATACCTTTCCTGGGGAAATTCGGAAAATTTCGGAAAATTCACTTTTTGGAATTTTTTCCATAAGAATATTTCCAAATCTCTCTCTTTAAAAAAAAAAATTGTTTTTCCATTCTAAGTTGTTTATTCGAACAGTTTTCGTTTGTTGCTGAATACACCTAACCTCTTTTCCATTGGAATTTATCCGTTTTACTTCTTCAGCTGGCTTCTAAATTATTTGCATCGTTCAATTTTGAACGTTTGCTTTCTTCATTTCGGATATTAAAAGAATAAATTATTGAAAATTATTTAGTGAAAACTTTATGTGTTTTTCATACAAAGTGATCAATTACAGATTAAAAACTGTTACGATGCCACGAAGTGGTTGCGCTAATATCGGTCGATGTTCCCTTCGCACAACAGACCAACGTACGGAAGATTAAAATACTACTGTCAGGGAATCTGCTCGAATTGGAATGATCGAACATCGGCTAACGAAGCTTACAATGAGCAACAACGATCGGGCAGAAGACAGGTTCGGGCAAAGGTAATTTATGAACTACGAGAACAACGTTTGGCTGCTCAACACAATATAAATTCAGTTTTCTTTTCGTTTCAAAAAACATATTTTCATGCAGGACATGGCCACGCACTCCACAGTTAGTATATGTATAAGATAAAAATATTTAAATGCTTGTTTGACTAAGGTAAAGGCTCAGGATAAGTAGCTTCCTTCTCTCGAAGAAATTTCAAGAAAAAAAGGAAAAAGAAAAACAGTAAGAAGAAAATTCTAGAGGTATCCTCGCCCAAAGATCGACCCTTTTATTGCCTGATAAGAATATAAAAATGCTAAATAATGCTATAATAATTATTATAAATTGTTTTAAATCAAATAATTTGAAAACAATTAGTTTCCTGGAACATTTAATGCATATATTAAAAGTTTCAACCAGAACTCAAACAAACTTTAAATATTAAATTTATAAAAATTCTCCTATACGTTAACATACCACCACCAAAATGTAGTATACATACACATACCCACGTGAGTATATTTGAATAATAACGCTGTGGAGTTGAAAAACTTACCTGCAATGAAAATGCACAAACTGCCGAGCCGGGAATTGAATTTGTTGGCGTATTAAATACGCCATAAATCAATTTAGCGCTTGTTTGGCCATAATGTCCTTCGACGAGATTGCTAGCCGATTCTGGTTGGTTGTCAAACAGCCAACAAAAACACAAGCACGGCGTGTTAAATGGAGGCAGCAAGTGAAGCGCAAATGCCAGCAAACGTTGTATTACAGCAGGAGTACAGTAGTAGTAGGACGAGGATGAAGAAGAAGAAAAAGTAGAGAATAGAAATAAATATAATGAATTGCATGAATGTTTAAAAAGTTTTTGTTTATTTTTATTTACAAACTTTCATTTTTGTTTTTATATATTTGAAATAAGTTTGAAATCGTGAGTGCTTAAATTGCGTGCGATGCTCTAGAAGCCAACAGCATAAGAGAAATAAAAAAGAATTTAAAAAGGCGCAACATTAATTTGAATGTCACAGCAAATCAAAGCACTCACGCATATCGAAAAAACCAACAACAAACAGAAAAAAAACATATAAAAAAAATTACTAAATAAATAAATATAAATAAAAAATCATAGGCAAAAAAAGAATAAATAAAATGTGAAAAAAAAAACTTAACGCATTGTTCCTTTACTTACGTATTTCATTGAAATAGAATGGATATTCGCCCGGTATTGAGCAGTTGAGTCGCGATTTCAGGAATGACGTCCAACGATTACGAAAACGATGCGGTCCGCCCTTGTCCCATTTACAGACACGCGCCACGCGTGAGTAAATTGCCTAAATTTGGTGAAATGTCAAAATACACGCATTGTGTTTAATATAAGAGAGAAAGAGAGTGAGAGAGAGGGAGGGTGGAGGTGGAAAAAAATAACAGAAATCTGAATAAATTCGAATTGTAAATTATTGACGATAAAAACAGCAAAAGCACGAATAAATTTTATAAATAAGCGTAGGTCGTCCTACGCAACGTCACACAAACACACACGTATTCACACTTACGCACACACAGTTGAAATGTTACTCTGAAATACGCGAACGAACGTTTGATTATTTGTATTTGTATTTACGGCGGCAGCGTTAGCCGAGTGGTTAGCATTGCGTACTGCCCTTCGGAAGGCTCGGGTTCATATCCTGGTGTCGTACTAATATCCAAAAATTATAGAAAATTAAATTAAAATTGAGCTAAATTTTCTAATTACGGTCGCCCTCCGGCAGGGAACGTCAACCTCTCCGAGTGTATTTCTGACGTGAACAAAAAACCAACCGCCGTTCGGAAGTCGCGTAGTATAAACTGTAGGTCTCTCTATTTATTGGGATGATGAGCTCGGCCGAAAATCGCTTCAGCGGTAACAAAGTGCCAACTATATTTACGGCGGTGGAGCGGCAGAGCTGTACAGCGGTTGGCGCTGAGTAAACAGTGGCAGACGCGGCCACAATGAAAATATGAGCGTCATTAACGGGGATTGATGCATTTGAGGTTTATGCGGTAAGTGTGCGTGGCTCGACCGCTGGATGCTCGCTGGCACGTTGGGGTTGGCTGATATGGCGTATATACATTTAGACACCACTTTTCAAATTAATGTTGAAAAAAAAAATTTAAATTGTATTGAAAAAGTTATAAATAGTCGCTGAAGTAAATGAAGCGTTGACATTTATGTGCATATGTATGTACGTACTTGGAAGCATATTATTCAATCTTAAGAATGTTAAAGAAATAAATTTAACAAAAAAAAAAAGGACTTGAGTAGAAGAGGAGTTGTGGGATTAAGATTCCCTCCCAAAAACAAATTTGAACTAACCAAATTCCTCTAATGTCGGAACAGCGCTAAAACTGGAAAATAGAACACCTGTTAACGATGGAACAGATGTTTCATTGCTCGACTGTGAAGGAGTTCCCATAGCAATTGCCCGTTTGAAAAACAACAAATCGGCGGGGGTCGTTGGATTACAGGCCGAGCTATTCACAAATGGCGACGGAGGATAGATAGATTCTTTGCACAAAAATATGTTGGATGAAAGCATATCCGGCGATTGGAATCTAACTGTGCTCTACACAAAAAGGGTGATACCACAGACACCACAGTGGGAAAAGTCTTCTCGCTCCTATCGAGGTTATTGTGTGAAAGACTGAAACCCACCGTCAAAAAACTGATTAGACCTTATCGGGGTGGTCTTAGACCTAACAGATCAACCATTGACCATATATTATCCATGCCCCAAAGCTAGGAAAAGACCACAGAAAGAGAATCGACACACACCACCTCTTCGTATTTTTGAAAGCAGCCTTCGGCAGCACAAAAATGAGCTATGCCTACCATTGGTATCCCCAGAAAACTTAAACGACAAGATACACTTATGCCATACAACACTAGAAGCGCAGTCAGCATAGGGAAGGAACTCTCCATTTTATTCAATACCCAACGAGGTTTCAGACAGGGTGGCTTACTTACTTTACTGGCGTAGACACCGCTTACGCGATTTTAGTCGAATTTATAACATCGCGCCATTCATTCCTTTTTCTAGCTGCTTGGCGCTAATAAGAGATACCTGGTCTTTCTAACGAAGGGGAGGTCTTCCTCTTCCTCTGTTTCCACCGGCGAGTACTGCAGGGGTATTCTTATCCACGCGGACTCATGACCCAGTCAGCGAAGCCGTTGTTTCTTGGCATATGTGGAGTTTACGTCCCAAAGAAAACTTCTTCACATCAGTTTTGAAATAAGTAAAAATCCAGTATTGCCGCAGAATCGTCGCAAGAAACACGCTATCAATCTGCGAGTGGTAACCTGTTTTGGCTATCTTCCAAGTCAAGATGTTAACAATAAAAATGGCGGCAATGCTATTACAGGGGGCAAGCCCACAAAAAAGGAGGAACAAATGGAAGTGGAAAGCTTGTAGATCCACTTCTGAAAATAATCTTCAAAATCTTGCTTTTTTACCTCATCAAGTTTAGCACTAACCCGTTTTATATCTCCTCGTTTCTATGAAAAACTTTTCCTTTTAATTTTTTTTAATTTCGGAAAGAACCAGAAGCCCCGGATATGGATATGGTATTTCTTCGATTTCAGAGATCGCAGTAAAATTACTTATTATCTCAGCAGTGTGGGATCGCGCGTTGTCATGATGTAAAAAGTAATGCCGCCGCAAATTCTCTTTCGTCCTGCAACTGACCATTTTCGAATTTGTTTACGAAAAATTGAGCAAAATGCACTCGGTCCTCTTTTTGGGCTTCATTTAAAATTTGTGGTGCACATCGAGCAGATTTCTTCGTGTATCTCACATGTTTACTTAATATTCGCGATCCAATTCATTAGCAATGCTTTCCTGTGTCAGTCGTGGGTCTTCGTCAATTTTAGTCTACGGAAAAATATCCAGCCTGGAATCTTCGGAAATAGTATTTAAAGATGGTGGAATCGTTCCATATGCAATTTGACATTCACTGGATATTTGTATTATCTGCAAATTACGCCGAAACCCGAAGAGAATGAAATGGCGAAATTCTATCTGACCTATCCTCGCTATCTAACGTTTTCTCGCCTCCACTTTAGCCGATTGTTCTAAAGTTTGAAAGGAAGAGTAATAAAGTAATTGCAAAGGATTTGCTATTTTTGGACTTAATAAAAATAAAATTAAGAGTCACCAACTGACCGAACTTTTTTTAATTCTCTCGTATGTAAGGGTTTGATCAAAAAGAGTAGGAAGCTTACACAAATTCACGTAGCAATAGCGATAGAGGTTGTATGCTATACACTTGGCCTCTTTCGGCGAACCGTGTTTTACATTTGATTCTGGTAATCGGAAAAATACGAACAAACATGAGTTATAAGATGAATTATAGTGTCTCTGCTGTTTAGAAGATTTGACTACGATGTCATGTATATATACAGGGTGCACCATCTCTCACCTCGGTATTCCAAAATTGAGGAACTCTGACGTTTTTCGGTCGATTTTGACAAATAAGCCAGTTTTTTTTTTGGATATACCTTGCTATTTATTTCGAAGGTCTAATTAGCGCACCCTGTATAAGTACATATTATATATAGGCAAGATTAGTCACAAGTTATGATCCCCTCAGGCAAATCGAGATTGTCAACAATTCTTGAGCAATACTAATGCGTGGATTTCTTGATTGAAATTTATAAATTTCAGAACGAAACTCTCCACATTTTTTAACAGTGTTTAGAATATAAAAGGAAACCCTCGTATCAGCTCTGCTTAATGACATGACGACTGTGGGAAGAAAAAAAAATCATGGGGAACGGGTATATGGGAAACATTTTGATTACAGTTTTTTAGGGACGTAAGATTTTAAAAAATCATTTTAAATAATAAAAAAAAATTATGTTAACAAGCGATATATGTTCAGGGCGGTTCCCCTGGAACCCAACACTGTTGTGCATGTGTGAATAATTTGTAATTTCTGTAAATTGTGTTTCGGTTATTATTAAAAAAAAAATTAAATTGTGCGTATTCCAACAATAAATTGTTGCCACTGTTACACCAACCGCTCCACGAAAAAATTCTGTTATGAGCAAATTTCTTCAATATTTTTATGAATTTTTGCTTTAAGCAACATTTCAACTGCAAGTGTTTGTACGCTGCAAGGCTCAGGTGGAAAAAAATATAACAATAATTACAACCCATTTTAAAATCAATTAAAATACGCGTGACAAATGTTTAAATTTCACTTTTAAAAATGTGGCAGCAAAAAAAAACAAAAAAAAAAAAAATTCTTTAGCTGCTGCACATTATATGAGTTATGTTTTTGAGGGGAAAAAATTATATATGTATATTAATCTGAAATAGTTCTTGCATTTCTTTACGTACTTTTCCGCAATTTATATACTCCACAGCCGTTTCTCTAAAGAAAAAATACACAAAATCACCCTGCGTAAACGAGCTGACAAAATTTGGCGCTGCAAAATAAAAGAGAGAAAGAGGAAAAAATTTCATTTTACAAAAAAATACAATAAGATTTGTTTTATAAAATATTTTATTGTTATTAAGAGGTTGTTGTTGGCACTGTTCAATGAAAAAAATAAATATAATAATAAAATGAACTTTGATTAAATAGTTTAAGAATCTTCACAACACTTTTCATTGGATGCCGCAAGTTTAAAGTTTGTATCTAAACAAATTTAATATTCCCTTAATTTTTAAATAAACTAATGAATATTGTTGTGACTTAGTCTTATATGTATGTATGTACAACGGTATAAATTTGGCAAATAATCTCTATTATCCTTTTTGACACGAACTTTTAAAACATCAATATGCTCATTATATAGGGTTGGGCGGCCGCAGTAGCCGAGTGGTTAGCGTTGCAGACTGACATTCGGAAGGCCCGGGTTCATATCCCGTTACCAGCAACAGCCAAAAGTTATGGAGAATTGATTTAAATAAAAAATTAAGCTGAAATTTTTAATTGCGTTCGCCCCTCGCCAGGGAGTGTCAACACCTCCGAATGTATTTTTTAAATGCCATAATGGCTGCTCATAAAAAACCATCAGCCGTTCGGAGGCGGCTTAGTATAAACTGAAGGTCCTCCATTTGCTGGAAAAACATCAAGACGGAAAACCACGGAGAAGAAGCTTATCCGAAAAAATCGCTTCTGCGGTTACAAAGCGCCAATTATATATTATATATTTATATTAATTTTATTGCTCACTAAAAATACAGAGCTACATTTTGACATCTGTCAAACTCAACTGTCAAACCATACATTTTTTGTTTTAGCCAAAAGTCGCGGCAACGTCAAGTGGAAGCCATCATTTTCGAAAAAACACGGTTTCCAAACCATCACTGACGGTCCAGAAGGTTTTGTTTACTTTCTTAATTTGGACTTGTAAGGTGAACAATTGAAACATCTGAAGGAAGCAATCGCTCAGAGACGCCACCAGACAATACACATCAATAGTGACTCACCCAAAGTTCCGAGAGCCGGATTGGCAGGTTCTTATGCATCCGCCTTGTAGTACGGACTTTGCAACAAGTAATTTCCATGTGTTCTTGTCTATCGTGAATGATTTGGGCGATGGGAAATTGACCTCAAAAGAGGCCTGTGCGAATCTATTGCAATGATTTTTACCCAAAGGGGACCAATAGTTGCTGTGAGAGAGGAATAATGACATTCCTTAAATTTTGTGTAAAATTACTATATTTACTAGACCATTTTTTCCACATAGGAAAGTCAAGGTGAATCCTTGAGCTTGAAATTTCCAATTAGAAAAATTATTTTCCCGTAATTGCGGAAGTTCGTCGGACTAGGACTCGAGCCACAGTACCTTGTGCTAACCATGCCATTATGGCCGCTGATATTTACAGCAGTGCGTTTAACTACCAGGCGTCAGTTGTTATCGTTGGATTATTTTACGGCTTTGTACTAGTTAAATACTAGTTACACTTTATAGCTGCCGCTTGCGAAGCATTGAATAAGTCATTTGACTGTACTTTACTTTACTTTACTTGACTTCCTTAAGCACTAACAAGTAAAATACGATTAAAGACTTCAACTTGACAATATAAATAGCCACAAAGTACTAAATGTCAGTATGAGCAACACAACGTCACGCTCAGGCAGAGTTAAGTAGCAAGACGCAATGGAGCGGGAGAGACGGACAAACGGTTGGTCAATAAATTGGGCAGCCAACCATCAATACTGCGAAAGCCATAACCACAGTGCTAAGCCATATTACCATTACCAAAAATAACACAATCGAGTGATGAGCGTACAACAGCCAATGAATGATGGACCCACCAAGGATATACCCATCAACACTACAAACGGAAGAAATATATTATATATACATACATAAAAAAAATACAAAAAAAAAAAATAAATAAAAAAAATAATGCAATTACGATTTGATACAAATAACAAAAACAAAAATATTGTGCAACAAAGAAAAAAATTCTTCATTGTCCAATTATTACACACACACGTATAATATATACTCGTGTTCGTATATATACAAACTTACCATTGAGGCTTAGACTGTCGTATTGCTCCGTCTGTAGAGGCTCACGATAGATAATCGGATCACTGCCGCTGAAATCGGCCACAGTGCCGGAGTATAGCTCGTTATCTGTAATAGAAGAATAAAAGCAGAGCAGAGGTTTAGTATTTGTGTAGCTAAAGTGAGGTGAAATATATGTGTATTATGAATGAAATGAAGCTAAGGAGGCGCAATAAACGATTTCGGCGCTGAACAGCGGCTGGTGGACGTAATGATACTCCCACGCCCTGGTCCCTTGGCGTATATATATTTGTATATATATATATAAAGATGGAATTATAGCAATGAATGCATAAAAAATATAAGAGAAATGAAGTTTGATAAAAAATAAAAATATATGTGTACAATAAAAAAGGAATACCAACATAAAAAGTAGTAGAAATATAATGAAAGAGCATGAAAGAAAAATGGAGAGTAACAACAAAGCATAAGAAACAGCATTTTAAACGCTGCCAGCAGGATTTGCAGGACATGCAAATAGTGCATAACAAGCGGATTTTGTAAGGCATAAAAGTATAATCGAAATTATAGCAAATAGCATACAGCAGCTGGGGAGAGTACAACGAGTACAAATGGAAATGGATAAAACCACTCGCTTCAGTGCACTTGCAGAAAGTAACTTACAATAAATAGACAGACAGTATATTCAGCGCGAGGAAATGATTGAATTTAGTAGTAGTATACAACAAACAGTAGTCGAGTAATAGCAGTAGTAGTGGTGGTAGTAGAGGAGTTAAGGGCTTGCTGTGCGCAAAAAGAAAAAGGTATTATCAGATAAGTATCTAAAGCGTTGCAAATCGATTTTGTGTGCGCGAAATATCAAACGAAGTATTTAGATTAATACCCGTATATACATACATTATGATATTGTAGCTAAAAGCGAAGCATTGATTTTGTCCATTTTATAAGAGTAAATACCAAAAAAATACGTAATAATATCGTATTACGGTATTACAGAAGATATACGCTTATTTCATTAAATTTAAAGCAGCTAAAGCCTTTAAAGCGAGTTCAGGTGAGTGAGTTATGCTCGAGAGCGGATTTATCGGGTATAGATCGCAAAAGCCTAAGTTATTTTTTGCTGCTTTACTCACAAAATATAAACTCTTAGAGTTTTTTAAAATTCTGTAAAACCAAAATTTGTGTGTATGTGTGTGTGGTCGGTTTTTTCATATTTTTGGCAACTTTAAGGCCAAGTTCCTCCAAAAAACGTGTTTTTTAAAAACAAATTTTATTTATTTTATTTAAAAAAAAAACATACTTATAAATCAAATCATTGTATAAAAATACTAATTGAAATTTTTATATTTTAATTTTTATATTTTTTTTAATGACGGCTTTTCAAATTGCTACTGAAACACGTCCCTTTTGTTGGTGAGGGACGCCATAACTGTTAAACGAGTCATCTGAAAGCAAAAATCAAAACAGTTTCTCATCCTGTATCACAGTGGCAATAGCAATGAAAAAAAAAAAACAAAAAAATAGCGCGGACTTTAAAATTTGTTTACTCTTTTTTCAATTTTAATTGGTTATAAATTTTTTAAACAACAACGAATATTTTTGGTTGTAGTATCGACCATAGGGAAGCATTTAAGGAGTAAAATGCCATTCAGTTCATGTTGCCACCAACTTTAAAAAACTTGGTTTCGATAAAAAGGCGATTAAAGTATTCGGGCCGTTGAATTTACCGCTTTGGCGCGTTCCGCTCTCCCCTCTTGTATACTTGCTTGCTGGTCTTGCGGACCTTCGCGATTAATTCTACTATTTCTAAGAGAATTTTCTGGCAAATTAACTGAAAAAAAATTTGGTTTTTTTGAAAAATTTCTAGAGAAACTTGCCCTTCACTGTAACTGTATTTGTATTTTGGAAACGCATTTTTGTTTTGCTCACAGAGTACCTTTTGGTCCTAGAAATGATATGTAATTGCTTTTAAAGTGAAAAAAATATTTCAAATAGCTAAGCTTTTTATTTTGTTGCAATTCCTCAGAGCGAACGCTGAATATAATGAAAATATTTAATGGGTTTTTCAAAAAAATCCTATTTTTCGCACTGGTCGATAGCCGTTTTTCGATTAAATATAAACATTTTTTTTAAATAATTGAGTGCGTATTTTTTAGTCAAGATCAATTTAAAAACGAAAATAGTGTGTCGCTTTCATCAAAATTAGTTAAAAAATAAATTCGTAAATGAAGATCATAAAATATTTTGTTTTTCCTTTCTAGTTCTCATCCTTTAGAAGAAATCGGTCCTCCCGTGGATGAGTTTCAAAAAACATATTTAACCCATGGACTATAAAAACGCCATTTTCACCAAAAAAAAAATTAATAATTTTTCTTTCATCCTTCAATATATGTTAAATGAAATGGGTAAATAGAAATTTTATTCCTTTTCCCACATTCCTACAGCAAATTTTTCAAAAATTAGTCGGTTTTTCAACCTCTGGAGTTGACCATCCCTATTATAAAAATAATATTGACATCATCTACAAAGTCTGAAACCAAACTTTGCAAGCTTTTCAAAATACCTGTTGCTTGTCTTTGCAACGTTTTTTCAGCTGCCATAATTAAGTATCACATAATACAGAATTTGTAAGTGGACGACGCTTATTCATCAGCTAAAAATTGAACCGAATCGAGTTGAAGCTACGGTCAAAATAATAAGATCGTTGTTTGTCGCCACCAAGGTCTCAATATGCTTGAGGTACGCAGAGTAGCGGTAGTGACCAATCGAAGTTTCAAGTTTCGCTGATTTGCAAGTGTGTTTTGGGACGTCGTCATTCCGGTAGACCCACCATATTGGCATAAGGCAACAACACTGTATTTAAAATTTCGAAATATTTTTCACTAGCCATTATACTTGTAATACAGTATATGGGGTCTTCATCGAAAGAATATTAAAGGCAACTTCAAATCATTATACTCTATACGTCATGGTTAACGGTATTTAAAGAATTTTTTTTTAAGGTCGTAATCAGTATTGGGTTTCGCCAAAAATAATAATTTCCTTGTTCTTGCATGAAACTCAATCTGTTCATCATCAACTACACTTTTCGTGGACTTCTGCCATACAAATTACGTTCTTTTCGCCTTCTTCTAACAGTTTCTACAATTCTTTCTATTAATGATTCTGTACTAAGTTCCTTAGTTGTTAGCAAAAGATTATTTTGATTATGGCGTTCCTCATGAGACACACTTTGTGGATTCATAGCGCGCTTTCCGCGATGAGTTTCATGTTCGTTCTTTAATTTCAATACATTTAAAATCATTTTAGTTAACGACCGAAAAAATTATGTTATTTTTGTACGTTTTATCTTCTAAAAAATGCTTTTTGATTAATTCAGGAATTTATTTTTCGGAGAATTCAACAATTGTCTACCAATTTTCCTTTATTTTTTTGCAACTTACTTGCAATACAATAATTTTTTAATTATACTTCTAGTGTAGAGTATGAACTTATCACACCAACGCTTATTAATAAAGTTACTTTATTGAATAAATAATTTCAAAAAGGAACGTTCTGCAGAAAAAACTGCAGTGAAGTTATTGTGAATCTTCTAAAGGTAGCGGTATTACGCTACTTTGCAACAAATTTTGTTTGTTCGTCCACATATTTTCTCTTTAATGTTTTAGTACTTAGCACTGTTATTATGTTGATGGTAGTTGTAGGCCTTCAGTTTACTCAAAACTTAAAACAAAAACAAAAAAAAATTATTATATTTTATTTTGTTTAATTTTACTTTATGTTATTTTATTTTATTTAGTTTAATTGCATTAATTTTATTTTGTCGTTTTGTTTTGTTTTGTATTTTAAATTATTTTAATTTCTTTTGTTTTAGTTAATTTAATTTAATTTACTTAATTTTTTATTTAATTTTAAATTATTTTATATAAATAAATGTTATTATAAATAATTTCAATAAATTTAATTTAAATTTATTTTAGTTAGCTTTTTTATTTAATTTAAGTTATTTTATTTTATACTTTTACATTATTCTATTTTTTTATTTAATTTTAATTAATTTTATTTTATCGTACTTTATTTAATTTAAATTTTACTTATTTCTTTGTTTTATAATAAAAACAAACGAGGCCTTTAGGTTACTTAATACTTGTATCAAAAATTATTACATTTTGCATGGCCGCAAAAACAATCATTAATTTATTTTTATGGGTTTTATTTGATGTAGTTTTATTTTATTTTATTTTATATTTTTATTTAATTTAAATTTATTTTATTTTGTTTCTTTCTGTGTTTTTTTTATATATTTTAATTTAATTTTTTTTTAATATTATTTAATTTGTTTTGTTTTATTTTATTTTATTTATTTGATTTTACATTTTCGTTGTATTTCATTTCATTTTATACTGTTTTATGTAATTTTATTTGTATTTAATTAATTATTTTATTTTAGTTTATTATATTTTTTTTAATTTAATTTAATTATATTTTGCGTTTATTTTATTTTTATTCAATATATTTTTATTGGTTTTATTTGATGTTATTTTATTTTACATTTTCATTTTATTTAATCTAAATTTGTTTCATTTTGTTTCCTTTAACGTTTTTTATGTTCTAATTTAATTTAATTTTATTTTATTTTGTTGTGTTTTATTTTAATTTCTATTATTTTGTTTTATTAATTTAAATTTAATTCAATTTGATTTAATTTCTTTTAATTTAATTTTGTTATTTTATTTTATTTTTCTTCATTTTGCTCTACATAATTTAATTTAACTTTAATTTATCTAGATGTTTTTTAAGTTCTTATAATACATAAATATTTCACATTTAAGCACTATCTAGAGTACTGGTAAAGTTGTTGTTGGATAAATATGTACTCGTATATTTACCAAATTGATTGAGATTTTAACGGTTTTTCAAAGCTGTGACCCGAAAGTCTTCTCTCATTTAACTGCAAATTCTTACTACAAATATTACTACTTCGGTTCCGCAATGAATGTATATATGTAAAGAGGTGTATGTATATATGCATTGCCTATCTCAACAATATCCATATTGACCAAAGCGCTTTCTTTTCCTTTCAACTTCCAACTATTCTCTGTTCTTCA